CGAGCTCCCTTGGTCAATCAAAATCCGTTTGACGTCAAAATCCTTTACTCGGAGAGTGACGACCAGTGCATCATTGTGAGGGCAGTATATCCTTGCCAAGTCTCTACCTGAAAAAGATATGACGTCGTGGCTTCTGTTCTCCCCTTTTTAATGGTAAGTTGGGCGCTTAATACCTCCCTTAAGTGCTCAGCCTTCTTTATCATGCCCCTGAGCTCGCATACGCGCTCAGGTTCGAATACCCCATGGATTACGTTGATCACGCCTTGAGGTGGGGCGTCGATTGGCATTCCGTTCGGGTGGTTGTCATTCTGGGGGGCTGGTTGTGCCCCTCCTTCAATGTACTTGTCCAGGTGACCGGCTGCCACCAACTCCTCCAGATGCTGTCTCAACAGTGCGCAATTTTCAGTGCGGTGCCCTTTTTTCTTATGGAAGGTGCACCTAGATTTTTCGTCGTAGTCCTTCTGAGCCTCTCCCAATTTAACTGGCCATTTGACGAAAGGTCCATCGCGTATCTCACTGAGAATTTGGTAGATTGGTTTCTTGAATACCGTGGTGATGGCAGTGCGGACTCTCAACCATCTTTTATCTCAGTCCTCTTCGTTGTCTCGCCTACCTCGTCCATTCTTGTTTTGACGTTCCACTGTATTGACCTTTGCTGCAGTCTTCTTGTCTGGTGTTGCTATTGCACTAGATTTTGCCTTGGCACGGGCGCCATCCTCCTCCACCCGAATATGTTGGTGCACTCTCTCCATCAAGGCTTCCATCGTGAGGGGTGGAGTCATGGTAATCGAATCCCTCAATCTGTTTCCGACTGGAAGCCCTCTTTTGTATTATTCGATGGCGAGATTAGTGGGGCAGTCCCCTATCTGGTTGAACATCTCCCAGTAGCGACTGTTGTAGGACCTCAATGTTTCTTTGTCACCCATGTCAATGGAGAGTAATTGATCGATCTCCATTGGCGTCTTGGTGTTCGTTTTGAATCTTGTCACGAACGCCTCCGCTAATTGCGCTCAGGAGGTTATGCTGCCTTCTAATAGCCTTTCAAACCAGGTTAAACCTAGGTCGCCAAGGCTAGATGGGAATAGGATGCACATCAAAGCTTCGTTCCGCCTGTATACTGCCATAACCTGGCGAAAGTGGCTTAGGTGCATGTAAGGGTCTGTCTTTCCTTCGTATGTGGTAAATTGAGGCTGGATGAAGCCTAAGGATAATGGTGCGTTCTCAATCGCCGGAACGAACGGCGAGCTATGTAGTCTTGCTAATGCTTTATCTGTTGGTTCATAGGCAAGGTGCGGTATTGGCATTCCAACCTCGACGCTTCCATGCGTCCGAGGAGCCAACCGCTGCAGGGCTGAAACTCTGTACAGGTCGCGTGCCCTGGCATCCTCCTTCTGTCACGCCCTCTCTTCAAGCACAGTCCGTAAGTCGGATGATCTAGGCAACTCCGTTTGCCTGGATGATGTCTGGTGCGTATGTGAGGGCCGATAGGTACTTCCTTCAGTGTAAGATCTCAATGATCTCGTTCTCTCAGACCTGGAGTAATGAGTTCTGGAAGTCCTTGATTGAGTGTCGCCTGTCCTGAGGCTTCTACTCTCTGCTTGCGATGGCGTGGTATGCCTACCACGATCTTCAGAGTGGCGAGGAGGCGTATTGCCTTTGCGCCCCTCTCCCGTCGCCACCTCTTTTCCCTTGATCTGGCGCTTCATGGCCTCCATGTTCGCCGCCATCTTCCTTATTAGTTCATCTTGCTCTTTTACGCGATCCTCCAGAGCTTGAGGGTCGATTCTTCGCCTTTGCCTTTCAGGACTTTGTGAGCGAGAGCGACGGGAGCTGTTGTTCCGCCTTCCCCTTGTATCTCTCCGGGGATTCTGTCGCTGGGGCTCTAAGTCCGCCATAGGAGGGATAGAGGGCAATCCTTCGCACCTCCCACCCCCCTCTGGGGTTTGTCCGTCGATGGTGGATTACGATAAATCTTCGTTGCGCGCCATTCAATTAGTGAGGGAAACTTGATCAAGAGGTTTTGTTCTTTGTCTGGTATTCCCACAGACGGCGCCAATTGTACGGGAAAGAAATAAACCTTCTCGTATAATCCTGTTGATCAAGTCCGCGTTCCTCCAAACGTCATTGCTTTACTCCCTGAAAACACAAACGTGAGCTAGCCGGCGGGTGTGTGCCGGATACCTCTCCGATGTCTAAGTCAGCAAAATAGACAAATAGACAAAAGCTCCGTGTATTCGAGAATCAAAGTTGTGTTACCTCTCCATAGGTGATGTTGTGAGCTTTTATAGGTTCCGCGTGGCACAATCCTAGTAGGAATTTTGCTCCTCCATGTAGAGTCCTCCTGGGAGTCATACTCCTGAAAGATAATACTTTTCCTTTAACACCTCCCTTGCTGCTTAAACCAAGTGAGATGGTTTTACCATAGTCGGATTCCAATATGACCGAGGTAAACATGGCCATGCTAAGCCGCAGAGTAGACCAAACTATGCCTAGTTTGGTTCTTCCTTTCACTGCTCTTACCTCGGTTTCCCCTGTACAAACTATGGTGTGCTTAGACCGAGCTAACTAATAGCAAGGTTTCGATCGAGCTAACGATAATACACCATGACCGGGCTAACTTTGAACGCGGCGACCGTGCTAACTCTTGGACCGAACTAACTTGAAGGTCATCTTGGACCGGGCTAACTCCAAGGTCTTTATACTCAGCCCTTCTTACCGTGACCCACAACGGCCCACTACTCAGTTTGGCCCAATTTAGATATAAATTTCCCTCTCACTACTCTATATAAAATTTATTTGTATATCCTTACTCTATTCTATATGATCATTATATATCTTTAATCCGTTGTCGATGTTGAACAAAGCTCACTATTTTTTACATGGGAAGAGTTATTATGACATGGGAGGTTAATTATATTTTTGTGTCAACTAGTGAGATTTGTGTGTGAAGGAGGACTTCAATGCCACGGCCACCATTAATTATTTGCAAAATGTTTGAGGATGCCTCGAAATTTCGAGACTTATTTGTTTGTTTGTTTGTTTTTTGGTTGTGTTGGTTTGATTTTTTTTTTTTTATTATTTGCAAGGATAGTTATGTGTAAGGGTGTGCTAAAAAATTAGACATCCCGCACTAACTCAGCTTGTGTGGTTTGATAACGTGAGTAAGTCGGGTTGGACTAGTTGGGTGATAAAATTGACTGATCAATTAGGTTGTTGGTTAAAATTTGTTAGTTCGACACAGTTTTATATGAGTCCATACTATATTTTTATTTCAAATCAAGAAGACTGGGAGGAAATTGAAATGGCTTTGGTTTCAATTTCCTCTGAGCCTTCCTGATTTAAAATAAAAATATAATATAGACTCGTACAAAATTATATGGAATTAATAAATCTTAACCAGTAGTCTAACTGATCAGTCAATTTTATCACCAAACTAGTCTAACCTAACTACTCACCTTATCAAACCACATAAGCTGAATTGGTGTAGAATGTTTAGTTTTTTAGCGCACCCTATACAATACATAACCATAATTTCACCAAAAAAAAATTTATCCGAGACATTCGAGCCTCAAAATTTCGAGGCCTCCAGCACGACTGTAATTATTTTTTCCTTTACTGTCAAACGCAAGTTGACGAATATTGTATTTTTGGTTTACATCCAAAAATCTAAAGTTCAAAGACAGAAGAGAAGCAAATCGCAGGGTCTGAAGGAGAAAAAGGAATCCCTTTTTGACAGCAACTAGCACAAGGGGAAGGTACTCTACATGTGCAAGGCTGTGCTTTCTTGTCCCCTCTCACAACTCTCCTTGCAATCCTTAGCATCTACATTTGAATTTCAATATGTGTACGGGTATATAATCGATCATAGAATTAATTACATAAAATATAAGTAAATAATTTGAGTGAAATTATATTTTTTATGATAAAATGTCACTATCTGATATGCATGATAAAATTATTTTATGTAATTGATTCTATTGCCGTTTAGAAGCAAACAATTAGCAAGTTAAAGATAGAACTATCAGAAGCTTATGGATTTCACTATTGACTACGTAGTCTTGCAAGAGCTGAGAACATCTCCTATTAAAATTGTGTAAATGGATGTTACTTAATAAAAAGTCATAAAATTAAGATTTGGTGAGTGTGTGAGATGTTACAATAGATGTGTTAAGATGTACGTTAAAGAAAAATATGTTAGTGGGAATAATGGTAATAGTGGTTGTGGGCGACAATAACAACAGTAATAGTGATGTAGTTAACAATGATGATAGTGATAGTAGAGTGATTGAAGTGATGTGATAGTGGTAAAGTAATGGTATTTGTAAACTTGAACGGAATAATGATTGCTTCTCTTGTATTTGTTCTGTTTTGGCTCAAGTCTCACTAATCTTTTGTTTCGGTCATGACTCACGTATGATTGGGTTTAATTATAGGTGTCAGCCTAATTAAAATGTGTTCTTGAGTTATGATGCAATTCAATCAAATTTTCATTTTGTACTATTCTCGTCTTTAATAAAATCTTTGCTTTGTTGAAAAAAAAAAAAAAACTTGTACGGAGTAATTTTTTTGGTTTTTGTTGATTAAAATTTTATGTTGTACCAAAATAAAATATATAATTAAATAATTGATGTACATGTAGCTATTATACATATGTATTTTGGTTAGTTTGTGCAGCAATGAAACGTCATGAATCATGTGATTCTTTGCTTCTGTGCTGCTGCCTTCACTTCTGTGTGTCTGTGTGTGAGGACCACAAACAAAGAACAAGGAAGGACGCCGATTACAACAACTTACGCGCGCACTCTACAACGTGGGACAGTCAGTTATTACATCACTTCCACACCGTACAACACCGTTACAACCAACCCCACCAGTTAACTTCAACTACTTTAATTAATTATTTAAACAAGAAACTACCTTTTACCTTTTAACAACCCTTCACTCTGTTTTCTTGTTATGCTTTTCATTCTAATTCACACTTAAACAACACACTCCCACAATGATCAGAAAACATTGTATAGAGAGAGAGAGGAGAGAAGTGGTCCTCACACACAGGCCCCTTCTTTCTCTCTCTCTCCTGTCTAGTTCTTTTTCACCTCTCTCAATCTCTCATTTCCTACTGTCTTTAGAGACAAACCAACCCACAAAAATGGAGGCCCTTCAACCAAACCCGTCGCCGGTTTCGAAAAACAAGGCGGCGGAGGAATGTGCTGCAGCTGATGATGACGATGATGATAGCATGGAAGAAAAAGAAGAACAAGAAGAGTGTTATGGAGGTGTTAAGAAGAAAAAGAAAGTGGTGTTTGTTTGTGGTGGTGGATCCGGAGGAAAGAAGGGGTGTGGCGGAAGTGGTGGTGGAGGAGGGCGTTGTCAGGCGGAGAAATGCGCTGCCGATCTGACGGAGGCGAAAAGGTACCACCGCCGCCACAAGGTATGCGAACTCCACGCCAAAGCTTCCGTGGTCGTGGTCGCCGGGCTCCGGCAGCGCTTCTGTCAGCAATGCAGCAGGTCCTCACAATCCCACTCTTCTTCCTTTCTTTTCTTTTGATGGAAAATATTTAGCATGCATGGTAAAATATATTAACTGAATCATAATAATTTCGGGATGATATCTTTTTGGAGTCTTATTACTGTAAATTTTATTTTCTATTTTTATATTCTTTTGTGCTGTGTTTGGTTGGAGAATTTGAGGAGGAATTTAGAAAGGAAAAGAGAAAAGGTGTGTAAAACTAGATGAAATATAGGCATGTTTTATTCACATTTCACCTACCTTTTCCATTTTTCTTTCCAAATCTCTCCCCAAATCTCACAACCAAACACAGCATTAAGGACTTAGAGGTCATGAATTCAACTCTCTTTAATGTTGTGTTTGGTTGGAGGATTTGAGGAGGGATTTGGAAAGGAAAAGGAAAAAGTTAGGTAAAATGTGAATAAAGTATACCTATATTTCACTTAGTTTCACACACGTTTTCCCTTTTTCCTTTTCAAATCCCTCTCCAAATCTCTCAACCAAACACAGCATAAAGGAAAATTAAATTAGGAGACAATGTTTTGCAAAGGTGGAGAGACTAACTCCCACAAGTACTAATTTAACAGCTGAAATCATCTTCAATGGTGTGTTATATATCTTGTTATCCCTATATTTTGCCTTAAATTTTCCAAATTTTCACTTTAATGATAAGGCATATGACTTACTATGTATTATGTATAGGTGGACATTGTGTCAAATATAGCACAAGTTTTAGTTACTTGTGTCTCTCTCTTTCTCTAAGGATCCACATATAGTATTTTTATTTGATATTTTGTGTGAAAAATTAAAATATTTTACACTGTATTATTATAGCAAAATTGTCAAAATTAAACATTTTAACATTATTCGTTGCTAAATTATAACAATAATTACCTCTTTACCTATCCAACCATTAAAGATGCTTTAATAATGAGAAATGTTAGGGATCATGAAATTCTTTTCATGAAAATGATCATGAAAAATTTGTGACCTTTAGATTACCTTGATTAGTATGTGGTGCTTTATTCTAAGTGTAATCCAAAGGTCACAAGCTTTTCATGATCATTTTCATGAAAGACTTTTCATGATACCTAGCATTGCTGTTTAATAATTGATTTTCGCAGATCAAAAAAAAAACTTATTATTGCAAGAAATTTTTTTTGTTGTTGAAATTTTGCCATTTTTGGTAAAATTGTCCTTAAACGTACTAGTACAGTTTACATCAGCTACTTTACATAATGACGTTATTATGCTCTAATTGTGCTTCGCCTGCCATAATTTTTACTTCTGTTTTTGTTGTTGTGTTTTGATCTTGAACTTATATAAATATTTGTTAAAGAAAAAGGAAAAGTGATTATAAAAATTATTGAAAAATCTTACATTTCATTTACTCTTTTTTTCTTTTTCTTTCACAATTTAATGTATAAATTCAAAATTCAACCACAACGTAAGCTAAGCTGATTGATCGCTTGTTTTGAAGGTTAATTTCTTTGTTGAAAATAATATCCTTACATAATTATCATACAACATTTAAGACCAGAATAATATAATAATAATATTTTTAAGATAATAAAATCAAAACTCGTCTCAGGTTTCATGAGCTATCTGAGTTTGACAACACAAAAAGAAGTTGCCGGACACGTTTGGCAGGGCACAATGAGCGCCGGAGGAAGAGCTCATCTGAATCCCGTGGAGAAGGGTCTGGGTCTGGCTGCCCAAGTTTGAGTCTTCAGTTGAGCCAAAGTCAAGCTGATGATCATTACAGAGGGAAGAAGACTTCTCTGACAGCTTTTCCTGGGAAGCCCACTTACAAACAATTCCACATCCATTGACATGTTCATTCCTCATGCTTACTCTCTTCTGTCATTCCCATAGCATCTCATGCATGTTGTGGTTTCAGTGTTGTTTGTGTTCTGTGTTGATTGAACTGTGTCTAAATACAGTAGTGTAAGTTGTAGTTATTTTAAGTGCCTCCCCTGCTTCATGCTTTCATGCATGACAAACTTATTGTGACAATCTTTTAAGTATCGTCTGTGTTATAGTTCTTTTCGCATCCAAAGTAACATCTAGTATTTTATAAAACAGAATCAACATTTATACTACACATTGCTTCCAAAGAAATCAACGCAGCAAGTAAACTGCAAATAGTTGGTACCACATCTGGGACAACGAAGACACACGACTGGTAATCAACTTCAACACTCAATTTCCTACTAGGGCTTTATACTTTCTTTGTAATGAGTACATTACATGTTTGATTCTAAAGCCCAGGTAACCAAACTACTATTCGCAATAAAAACGGTTCATACAATGGCACAATATAAAAACTGATAAACCAAATGGTCACTGAAGCCTTAAAACTATACAGGAAATATCATCTGTGCTCCTCCTTGCAAGTGCCTCTTCAGTAAGGTGCTTAGCAGCTGCTTTAGCATCCTTTATGTTCCTAATGCACTCCACTGCCTCCTGATTTGTCATTACCTGATACCAAAAGTCCAGTCTGTTCAGAGCATACATTACAGGGAAAAAGAGAAATATACACAAAAATAAAAACAGGTGCCAATAGTCTTGCAACAACTTTGGAGAAAAAATTGTAATATACAAACTGTTGAAACTTGAAACTATGCCTCGCCAAAAGTCATTCTAGACATGCCATATATTCAAACTTCTGAAATCCAGAAATTTTGCAAAGTACTGATCTATGACAGTAGTGTAAGCTAGTGCCATATTTTCTGATTTGTAGATAGAAGATTTTTTAAACTGGAAAATTAAATGTTCTAATCCTCAGATTTGGATGCTTCTATCTAGGGATTCAAATCGTAACTCTAAGCAAATTATTCACCCAAACAAAATAACTCTAAACAAATACAACGGGTACATAAACCAGTAAGATTGATGAAATAGAAATTAGTGCAAAAACGGCCAATTGGAAAGCAGTAGTCAATGGTTATTCTTTTCTATACACTTATGCAACCTCAATTATATTTCCAATAATTTCTCTCCATTCATGTTTAATGCTTTAAGCAATTTATAAAGTAAACCATATGCATCCAACAAGCGAGAGGCATACTAAAATCTTTTTTTTTTCTTTTTTTTGGGTACAAAAACATTGGTAGTATTAATATCTAAAAATTTGCTAGTCCAAGCAAATCATGTATTGTACTCTGAGAATAATTCATTCTCATATTCAATTGCAAAGTTTGTATGAAAAGGAGAGAAGACCACAAAAGCTATAAACAGAGAACCACAAAATTTAAAAGAAGAGAGGTGGATTAAAATGAAAAGATGAGGTTATGAACCATAGATATTGGTAAATGCAAAAGCGCAGAAGAACCAACCTTCCATATGCCATCACTTGCTAAGATGACAAACTCTGTATCTTCATCTACAATCTCCAAAGACACATCTGGTTCCGAACTGAGGTGTTTCTTCAAGCTTTTGTCACCAAATGCTCTTGCTACGGCCAACTGTCCATCAACTCGTGGAACATCACCTGAATTTAACACAATGATGTAATCATAAGATGATCTAATCTTGACGTCAAGGTTAGCCAGCGGACGAAACATGTTAAAATTAACATTATCATTATGCAAAAAGCTTATTATCAAAGCAAAAGAACATGTAGAAGTGGTTACTTTACTATAAGTACCATTTACAATAATCCTTTGATAAGTACCAAGAATAATTTACATTTTGATCATTCAAAGCCAACATAGTCCGCCTTTCCCCCCTTGGACATCATATAAACGAAAAGTCCTTTAAAAAAAAAATTTCCCCTCAAAACCATGGAAAACACCAAAATGCTGATCAGACCAAAAAGATAAGCTTAAAAAGTAAAAACAAAAGAATAAAAAAACAAATCAACTAGAATAAGTTGACACTTATTATTATTATTTTTTTATGACAGTCCATCACAGAAGTCTAGTTACCTGGAAAATTTGATACAAAACCACCTCTGTCCTCAATATATGTCCTTTCCTTGCTAGGCTCATGATCAACTGACAATTGTTTGGCCACACCATCCTTGCAGGCAACAGCCCTTGAATCTCCAACATTAGCTACCACCAGCTTCTGACAATCAATTAAGATTGCTGTAACTGCAGTTGAACCCCCTTTACCCAACTCTACTGATTTGTCCAAAATGGAAGTATCAGTTGTACGATAAGCTCTCCGGACTGCATCCTCTGTTTCAGTCCAGAAATCAGGCTACATGCAGCAACAGAAAAAGACAGTGAGAATAATTTCAACCATCTTATCAACTACCAATACTAGTTAACTATCAAAATAAGACTGATACAAAAGAAAATCAAAACGGGCAAGGGAGATGATCCATTTGTGTGAAGTAGTTCTATGTCCAGAATTTCGAGTGACAGATAAGTTGGAAAACAAACTTTCAGGACTTCAGTTGATGTTCTGCTCTAACATTACGTGCAAAAGATTTACTTCATTAAAGGCTATAAGACAGATCAGACACATATAAATCCAATAAACATGCGGTAATGTACAGCTAGCATGTAGTACCTCATTCAAAATATTAACGAACAAATGAGACCGTAGATAATCAGGGATGTCATGGCTCAAATGACCATCAAATATTGCAAACAGACCAAGCTCATGCTCCTCAACTTGCTTGAATTCAGCAACAACATAATCTTCCATTGGGTGACTGGATTTTCCCTTAACCAAATGATAACCATGTGTTACATGCTTTGACATCTTACTCTTCCCCTTTCCAGTGTCGGCAGATGAACCCAACCCAACTTTTTCCTTCAAAAGATAAGCAAGCAACCATTGCCCATGAAAGAAAAACTTGATGAAAATTTGCCTAAAATAGTTACATTATAACTGAACAAACCAGTAAATGCACACTCAAAATTAGAAGCCCCAAATGATGAGATCAGACATATATCCAAGAGCATAATTTCTATTTGTTCTATGTTTTACTGTGTAATTTATCCAAGAGCACCAAAGCTAAAACCTTAAACTAGTGTTACTCAATTTCACCAACTGCAACGCTGACCAGCCATTGCATTCTACCATTTGATACTTCAGACTTGTTAATTTTAGAAACAGCCCACTGGAGGATGCTATGAGATTAGATTTGGGGAGGAAAAATAGAAAGGAAGTGAATGTGAGAAGAAAAAGAAAAAAAAATAACTCATATTTCATTCACAATTTCCTTCTCTTTCTCTTTTCCCTCTCCAAATCTAAGATCCAAATGAGGATTTTAAATATGAGTACACATCGAGATTTTAGACTTCCCATATGTACAATACGGTCTTCCTAACAAGTGAATTAAAAAAAATGGAAAAGAGCATGAAACATTTTTTCACTAAATTCAATACGCATTCCACTAAAATCAATATATCACCTAATATCAGTCTGATATATGATTGTATGGCTAATACTGATACGGTAATTGAAAACCATGATACATCTAAACACAGCCTAAAAGTATAGTAGGAGAGGAGAGTTCAACATTGGTGGATCTTAATCCGGACCCATGTTGATAATCCAAACCATTAAATGTGTTAAATGTGTAGAATTCGCTGGGTACATTATCCCTACAAAAACCATGTTGATTGGATATTTGTAACCATGTGATCATACCGTATTTATGTCGAAAATTAGTTCGAAAATATGATCCGATAAAATAGCTATCCATATCCTGATTTTTTGTTGAGATAATATACCTAATGGGTTTAATACATTGAACGTTTTTTATTATCAACATGGATCCGGATTAAAGCCCACTAATGCCTAACTCTCCTCACCAGGTCCTAGAAAGTAAACGAATTGGAAATCACATTTTATTTTAGTTTATAGGCAGGCATATATATAGGTAGGTAATGAGCGAATCTCTACACTCTTGAGAAGATGAAGATCTGTACCGATCCCTAAATCCGCAATCCACTAATAAAATAAGAATATTAAAAGTAAGCAAAAACCTGAGATAAATTGCAAATGAAGTGGATCGTGCGAACAATAAACAAAACAAAGGTAAATTGATAGAGCAATGAATGAATAATTCGTACATGTTGCCTTAATTCCCATCAATTTGAAAAGAATTTACATGTGTATTTGTGAATTTGAAATGCGTACCTTCATCTTGAGGAGGATTTCTCGGCCTGTCATGGCTGAAACTGTTCACGTTATTGCAGCAATCCAGAAGCACGGTTGAAGAGAGAACCAAGCTAAGGATGCAGAACAAGAACAATAACAAGAACAAGAACAAGAACAAGGTGTGTGGAAATGGAAATAGGATGGGGAAGGAGGGAGGAGGGTGTTGTAGTTGACACGACCATTATTTAGTCAGTCTCGTACGAATGCCAGTGACTCCGCGTTCTTTGCTTATCCTCATTATTCACGCGTCAAGAGCTCTTTTCCCTACTCTCTACGTAGAGGAAACACTACCCAAAAGTGATTGGGGTTGGCATTTCACGAACCAAATCGATAATCTAAATTGTTCATATTTTAAAAGTTATTAAATAAAATATATTTGTATAACAATAGTGATTTAGATATTTTTAAATTTTAATTCCTATCACCCTCTACATATACGTGGTGGGTGATGATTGGACGAGAAAAAAAAATAATAATAATCAATCAAAAGAGAAAGGGGTCAAAAGGGTGGGGAAAAGGGGTCCCAATCTTTATTCTTTGTAAAAAATTATACCAATTAAGTATCGTTATTTCTTTCATCAAATCACATTTTGTATTGAATTTTATATTTCAAATTATATTTATCTTTTTTTTTTAAATACAAATATGATTTGATAAAAGGGCCAACGTTATTCGATTGACGTGATTTTTTACTGGTATATTCTATTCAATATCTTCTAAAATATGAACGGTTCAGATTATCAAATTTGCTCTTAAAATGAGCCCAATAAAATGCTCAATAATTGTTACTGCACACTATACACTCAAACAGTGCGCATCATATTATAACTAAAAAAATATATAATTTTATATTTTGTGAGTTATAATTTTTATAAAAAAATTATATTCAAATAATATATAAGATATATTTAAAATTTTCATAAATCATAATTAAAATAAGATTATAAATGAAATCACAACTAAAAATGATTATAACTAAAAAAAATCGTGTAATTTTATATTTTGTAAGTCATAATTAAAAATATATATACATAATCAAACAACATATAAGGCATAACTAATCTTTAAGACTATTTCCAACGGTTCATCAAACTTTGCATCAGATTTGAAATTTGGTAAAAAAGTCACTTTTTAGAAATCCAATGGTTTCACCAAATTAGTATCAAAATGAGAATGGAACAAAAAATTCATCAATGTGAGAATAGGCTCCAGATTTCACTATTTCACTTTGCGTTACCGTTGGGGTGGGCCAACCGGTCAACCAACCGATTGTCCGGCCGATTGCCCACTGGTCGACCGGTTGACTTTCAAATAGGTAAGTTCAAACCGGTCAAAAAGATTCAAACAGGTAAATAAATAAAAAATTAAATTACCCTTACCGGTCGACCCTTCCCTTTTGATGCACGGTTGGAGCAAGCCATATCAGATTGAGAAAATTGATTTTTTTTTACTCAAAATTGGTAAAAAATTTGATTCACCGTTAGAGATGCTCTAAGTCACAACTAAAAAATGATTATAATTGAGATAAAGAAAATTGATCATTATTAAAAAAAATTATATAATTTAAAAATATATACCATAAGAGTCGTGTATATTATAATTTCCCCCCTCTTTGATCTATGTCAAGTATTTTTCGTAATTAATGGTGCTTATCCATTTATACACCTTTTTTTGTCCCAGACAGTTAAGTTTTTTATTATTTTTGTTTTTAGTTAAAAAAATTTAATATTTAAAAGAATATACTTGTTAGATGCATCTAATCTAATATACACTTAAAAAATATAATACTTATAATAAAAATATCTTTAAAAAATTTATCAAATAACCTACATTTTGCATTCTTGTGTATTTATTAAAAAATTTAAATATATTTTTACAAATATTTTACTTTTTAAGTGTATAAAATATTTTTAAAATTCACTAAAAATTTTAAAAAATAAAAAATAAAAAATTTAATTTTTAAAAAATAATCTCAACCAAACAGGGTGAACCGATTAATTTTTTTATTTATTTTTTGGATAAATCTTCTCGCATATTAATCAGATTTTTCTAGAACAATAAATTTTTAATTTTTTTTAGCTTTCAGTTTGCATTTTTTATTTTAAGGGATTATTTGGAATGACCTAAATAAATATACTTTTTATTCTTTTACAAAAAAATATAAAAAAAAAAAAGATTATTTTGCTTTCAGTTTGCATTTTTTATTTTAAGGGATTATTTGGAATGACCTAAATAAATATACTTTTTATTCTTTTACAAAAAAATATAAAAAAAAATAAAAAAATAATATAATAAAAAAAATTAAAAAAAAATAGATTATTTTCAACTTCCTAAACTTGACCTAAATTTACTTAAAACAAAAAAAAAGATAATTAAAGGGGCAATCAAACGATGGTTTTTTGGGTCTCGTGGGCCCCAGTTCAAAGCGATGGGTTTTTTGGGAATAATCAAACGATGTTGCAAGTAATGCCAGGTTGAATCTTGTTGAAGTCAATGGGTAAAGCCGAGTTTGATAAATTGGTTTTTCAAGCCCAACCTTTTACTTGGCCCATTAACCTGAATCCATTCATTCTCTTTAGTGGGTTTAGAATTTGTTTTTTTTTTTTTTTTTTTTTGGTACATCGGAAGATGGTTTAGAATTTGTTTGAAGCTCTCTTTTACATCATGGTTGTAAAACAGTAATATCAACAGTTATATTAACTTTTTAAATTTGGAATAAAATTTACAAAATTACATAATTATACCGCAATTATTGAATAATATAATAGAGGAAGGAAAACAAATGAATCGGCCTATCTTTTTTATATAAAAAAATTCAAAATACAGGATTTAACTTATTTATGAAAGGATGGGGAGGAGAGTCACTAAAGCTGTGTTAGGATTTAACTTATTTATGAAAGGATGGGGAGGAGAGTCACTAAAGCTGTGTTTAGATTACGAAAAGGATAAATTTAGAAAAATATATATATATATATATAGATGAAATACACGTGTACGATCGGGATTAAAGGCTTGAATAACCTTCCTTTATTACCCTTACTCTGCCACGTGTCGAACTGTAACTGGCTTTTACAAAATATGTAGCCAACAAATTTAAACATAGCATAATTAACAAAAGTAAACTTACAACATATGATAATATTAATGATATGGATAGGAGCAACACCAGCGTTTCCACCTATTTTTATTGCTAATAGCACTATAAAAAATTAAGATTTCAAAAAAAAAAAAAAAAAAAAAACCTTAAACCCTAATGAAATATACTTGTTAAAAATCGCATCGATCAGATATTACTATCTCTTTCATCAAATCACATTTGTATTGAGGATTGGTTTGGGAAGTGGGTTGGCTTTTTGACTTTTTAGTTTTTTTGGCTATTTTAGTCTGTGGTTTAGAAATGGCTTTTTGACTTTTTGGCTTTTTTAACTTTTTTTGTGAGAGAAGAATGTAATGATTATGGGTTGGATGTGATGTTTTGTTTTTTGTGGCTAAAATAGCCTATTTTGTCTTTTGTGACTAAAATAGTTAAAAAAACTCCTAATCCAACTTGTCAAACGGAGGCTGAGTTTTATACTTTAAATTACATTTATCTTTTTTTTTAAATACAAATATGATTTGACGAAAGGGTCAATGATATCCGATTGACGTGGTTTTTTACTGGCATATGCTATTCAATATCTTCTAAAATGTGATTAGTTCAAATTATCAAATTAGTCCCTAAAATGGGCCCAATAAAATGCGCAACAATTGCTGCTGCGCACCATGTACTCAAACTGTGCGCATCATATTATAACTAAAAAATATATAATTTTATATTTTGTGAGTTATAATTTTTTTTCCAAAAAAATTATATTCAGATAATATATAAGATATAATTAAAAATTTTATCAGTCTTAATTAAAATAAGATTATAATTGAAATCACAACTAAAAATTATTATAACTAAAAAAAATCGTGTAATTTTATATTTTGTGAGTCGTAGTTTAAAAAAAAAAATTATAATCAAACAACATATGAGGTATAACTAAGAATTTTATAAGTTATAACTAAAATAAGATTATAATTGAGATGAAGAAAATTGATCATTATTAAAAAAAATGATATAGGGTTGGTTTGGCAAGGGCTCATTGGGCTTTTTTGGCTCAATGAACCATAAAAGACAGAATAGGCTCATGAGTCACAACAGACAAAACATCTCATCCAACCCCATAATTATTACACTCTTCTCTCACAAAAAAATTAAAAAAGCCAAAAGCCCTTCCCAAACCAAGCTTTTGAGCCCAGGCTCATATAGTCAAAAAAGCCAAAAAGCTAAAAAGTCAACTCACTTCTCCAACGGAGGCATAATTTAAAAATACATATGGTAAGAGAGGTGTATAGTATAATTTCCCTTCTCTTTGACCTATGTCAAGTATTTTTCGTAATTAATGGTGCTTATCCATTTATATACCTTTTTTGTTTCAGACAATTATGTTTTTATTATTTTTGTTTTTAGTTAAAAAAATTTAATATTTTAAAAAATATATTTGTTAGATGCATCTAATATATACTTAAAAAATATAATATTTATAATAAAAAGAATCTTTAAAAAATTTATCAAATACCAAAAATTATTACATTTTGTATTCTTGTATATTTATTAAAATTTTTAAATATTTTTTTACAAATATTTTACTTTTCAAATATATAAAATATTTAAAAAATTCACTAAAAATTAAAAAAATAAAAATTTAAATTTAAATTTTTAAAAAATAATCTCAACCAAACAGGGTGGATCGATTAATTTTATTTATTTATTTATTTGGATAACTCTTCTCGCATATTAATCAGATTTTTTGGGAACAATAAATTTTTAATTTTTTTTTTGGTTTTCAGTGTGCATTTTTTATTTTAAATTTACTTAAAACAAAAAAAGATAATTAAAGGGGCAATCAAATGATGTTTTTTTGGGATTAATCAAACGATGTTGACAAGTAATGCCAGGTTGTATTTTTGTGAAGGCAATGGGTAAAGCCAAATTTGATAAATTGGTTTTTCAAGCCCAACCTTTTCTTGATCCATTAACCTGAATCCATTCATTCTCTTTAGTGGGTTTAGAATTTGATTGAAGCTCTCTTTTACATCATGGTTGTAAAATTAAAACAAAAAAAGATAATTAAAGGGGCAATCAAATGATGTTTTTTTGGGATTAATCAAACGATGTTGACAAGTAATGCCAGGTTGTATTTTTGTGAAGACAATGGGTAAAGC